CACAATCATGGCTGTTGTAGCCTCAACCTCCTAGGCTCACATGATAATTCCACCTCAGCCTCTTGAATAGCTGGGACTATAGGCATGCACCACCATGCCCAGGTAACTTTTTTTGTAATTTTTGTAGAGATCTAAGTTGCTCAGGCTGATCTCAAACTTCTGGGTTTAAGTGATCCTCCTGCTACAGCCTCCCAAAGTGCTGGGATTACAGGCATGGCCCACCGTGTCTGACCAACTTGTTGAACTAAAATTCGAGGTACAGCAAATGAAAGGTGCAACTCAAGTTAGGAGACCCATCATCCCCATCAGCAACTCCTTCCTAAAGTCATGTTTCCCTCAGCCTTGGAGCTTTCTGGCCTTAGGATACTCTTGTGGCTTCAGTGGCAGCTGGTACATTCCTTCCTGCAGTGTGTCAGTCAGAGGCTCTTCTGGCCGCTGCAGGGTCGGGCTCCTTCTCAGTCTCGGAGAGGGTTAACACTGTGTTCTGGATCAGAGTCCCTTCCGTCCTTGTCCTTTCTTTCCACTTTGGGGTGCAGGCACTGCTTTCCCCAATTAGGCCTCTGGAGTCCATCTTGAGGGCTCCACCATATTGAGAGATAGCAAGTCAAGAAGTTCTGGATCTGCCAGGGCTCCCACTGTGGGGACAAACCCCGTCCCCCTCCTTCCTGGAGAGAGTGACCCCACAGGGAGTCCTTCCTCCACCACCTAACACCCGGCTCTGGGCTGAGCTCCACCCCTGGCTCCCTGAGCCTCACGGGTGTATTCCACCTCCTCTGGGCCTCTCTCCTTTTCAGTCCCGGCCAGCATCCTCCTGCAAATGCTTCTGAAAGTCCAGGACATTCCTACCTCCCCGTCTACGTCCTTGTCACCACCAGGCTCGTGAATCTACTTTTGATACTCTGTTCTGATCTCGCAGTGCAAGTCTACTCCTCATGCCTCCCTTGATCTACCTCTCAAGCCATGAAATAGGGAATGAATAGAAAGTTCAATGGCCTTTAAGGCTCCATCACCCTGCTGTCTCCTTGCCGGTAACTAAATACAGCCACTCAGGACTTCCTGAGGCGGCCCAGTTAGGCAATCCTAGGGAAGGAGGGGGTCCGAGAGGCAGAAACTCCTGTTCCTCTATTACCCCCTATGGGGGATGAGAAGGATGGTCCGGGAAAGGCCCAGATGGGGATGCCTTCTGTTCAGACCAATGCCCCTTGTTTTCCCTGTACCCTAGCCATGGATTTTGGCTGTAAGCCCCGCTTGGGCCAATCAGAATCTCTCCCCAGGAAAACCCTCAGAGGCGTGAGACCGCAGCGCTGAGGTCTGGGGAGAAGCTCTTCTCCTCCTGCTGAGACTCCAAGTCCTTCTGATCCTGCTCAGCACTAAGCCTGTGCACACATGCATGCCTTAAATCCTGCAAGCTTTCTCTCTGGATCATTCCAATAAATGCCTCTCTTCTTGAGTTCACTGGAGGATTTTTTAAAGTTTATAAATTTGCCTTTGTCCTTGTATTTGTTTTTGTCTCTATTTTGCTAACATCCATTAGATCTTAACTGATACAGAAGTTGGGACCAAAGAGTTGGTTGAGACCACAGACCCTCTGGAGGATTCTGGGTAGCACCTGCTGTCAGCTAGTGTAAAGGAGAAGAGGACCCTGAGGCCTGACTTGGACATTTCTCCTGAAGTCATGGAATGAACTCTGGCTGTTGATGCTCTCAGCTGACTCTCCTATGAAAATCAAACTCGTGGCCAGACACGGTGGCTCACGCCTATAATCCCAGCACTTTGGGAGGCCAAGGTGAGAGGGTTGCCTGAGCCCATGAGTTCAAGACCAGCCAAGGCAACTTGCCAACACCTCATCTCTACAATAAATCAAGAAAATGTAGCCAGGCGTGATGGCGCATGCCTGTAGTTCCAGTTACTTAGAAGACTGAGGCAGAGGAATCACCTGAGCCTAGCAGGTCGAGGCTGCCGTGGCCAGGAGCATGCCACTCAAAAATAATAATAATAGTAAAAAAGAAAATCAAACTCTGAGAGGGATTCAGTAGGTTTCTGATTAGCATGGGGAATGTAATCACCACTGGATGTTTTAAGTGCCAAGTAGTGCCCTGGTGGGGAAGAACAGAGCTATTAGTTCTTATTATAACAAAATACCACAAATGCAGTGTCTTAAACCAACACAAAGTTATCCCCTATAGTTCTGGAGGTCAGAAGTCCTAAAATCAAAGTGGGGGCAGAGCAGTGTTCCTTCTGGAGGCTTTAGGAGAATCCATTCCCTGACTTTTTTCAGGTTTTAGTGTTTTTCTTTTTGTTTTTTCTGAGTTGGAGTCTTACCCTGTTACCCAGGCTGGAGTGCAGTGGCACCATCAAGGATCACTGCAGTCTCAGCATGCTGGGATCAAGTGGTCCTCCCACCTCAGCTACCCCAGTAGCTGGAACTACAGGCATGTGCCACCCCATCTGGCTAATTTTTTTTTTTAGTTGGAGTCTCACTCTGTTGGCCAGGCTGGAGTACAGTGGCACACTTACAGCCACTGTAGCCTCAAACTGCTGGGCCCAGGTGACCCTTCCACCTCAACCTTCCAAGTAGCTGGAACTACAGGTGCAAGCCAACAAGCCACACTGCCCTCGAACCCATGAGCTCAGGTAATCCTCTCACCTCGGCCTCCCAAAGTGCTGGGATTATAGGCGTGAGCCAGCGAGCCAGGCCTAATTTTTATGATGACTTTTTTTTCAGATTTTAGAAGCCACCTGCTTGCCTTAGCTCTTGGCCCTTTCCTTCAGCTTCAAAGCATCCTCCAGTCTCTGTCTGTCTTTCTGTCTCCTCTACTTCCTCTTTTCCTCCCTTCCTCCCCACTTCTACCATTACATCTCCTTTCTTCCCTCTGACTCTACTGCCTCCCCATTACAAGGATCCTTGTAATTACATCGGGCCCATCCAAATCTAAATAATCCCATATAATCTCCCATCTCAAGATCCTTAACAGGATCACATCTGCAAAGCCCCAGGGATTGGGACATGCCCATCTTTGGGGGACTGTCCTTCAGCCTGCCTACCACAGGTTACATCCAGAGAATTGCAACAGGGAAACCTGGAGGGGGTGCTGAAGACTCCCAGTTCTGAGCCATGCCTGAGGGCTCTGCCGAGGTGCAGCCCCACTGGAGGATGCTGCCCCACTCTTGTTCCCATCTGTCTGTGCCCCACTCTGTTGCAACACAATCAACATTCATTGACAATGTGGCCCCAGAGCAACATCCAGAACAGAAAGGGTTTAGCCTGAAGCGAGAGCACAAATTCACTCTCCACAGATCTAGAATCAGCCTGTGAGGGTAGAGTCCAAGGATGATCAAAAAGGAGGAGGAGCAGATTTTGTGCTCGTTGCTATGACCGTCCTCCGTAGACACAGTTTGCTCCAGCAGCAGGTTGTGATTCTAATTGTGCCTAGGGCTGGCCATGCCACCCTTGACTGAGGGTTAGTTTTCTTTTTATGGCATTAAAACCCCAGAAAAAGACTTGCAATGAGGAAGAAGAAGGACTCAAGGTGTGCAGGAAGCTGGAATGTTAGGGTTGATCTTTCGCGGGCTTCCTGACCACACTGTTTCCTGCTACGGCCTTGGAGTTTGAACACTTGGGCTTTCCCTCACCTGCTCCAGATTCAGGATCCAACGTGGAAGCAGCCAGTGAGTCAGCCATGTCTCTCCTGTGAAACAAGTTTATTACATCCAAATAAATGGGCCCCAAAATGTTGACATCATTGATTATAGAAGGCAGACACCTAACTCCAATTTGCCAAAAATGAAGAGAGATAAATGACTAACAGCACTGAAAAGACCTGGAGGGTTTAATTCAGGTGCTTACACCGAGAATCCAGCACTCAGCCTCTCTCAAGTTTTGCTGGGCCTACTCCCTGACACCACTGCTTCCACCAACACATTTCTTAAGGATGTCACGAAGAACAAGATAGAACACCTCATATTCACACTGCCTGGAAGGAGAGGTGTCTTCAGGCCAGAATCTGCATTGTTTCCTGGGCAACCACTAACGATTTGACTGGAAGTTCAAAATTTATGAAGGAACTAATCTGGAGGCTTGGTGACACGATATTTAGAGAAGAATTATAGAGATGGAGCTCTCAGAATGAGGCCACAGCTAGAAAACACTTATGTCCCTGTGAATGCCCACAATTGTGAATGCTCCACTGTGAAAGCAATTCTTCACAATCAAGGGAAGAGGATGCCTTTGAGGCTCTAAGTCTTCCCCTTTCCCCAGGCCACCTAGCGTTTTCAAAATGGGCTCTGTAGCCACGTGCCTGGTGTGGAGCTGCCCTCATCAAGGTTCAGTTGGTGCCCAGTGAGTTTCCACCTCAGAAGTGTTCTCTTAAACATCACTAGAATGGCCTGAAGGCCACTCAGCCCCATGTCAGTAATGGAGTGCTGCCTTACAGGTTGAATCATGCTCCAAATCCATACCCAGGATTTAGCGCAATTTCTCTCATAGCCAACATTCATGGATCTATTTGGACATTAAGAGGTTAACATGAGGGTGACACATCTATGGTTACACATAATGAACCACTTTCAAAAATGTTATCATCGCCTTTTGAAAACGCCAGGGACATGGGTACTGCAGAGCTGTGATCCTCCTGCTCCGGCTCCTGACTCACCACTGTTCACTCTAGCAGAGGAATACGTTGGTAAGGAAGCCACGCCACAGCCATGGCTTTTTTTTTTTTTTTGAGTTGGCGTCTCACTCTGTCGCCCAGACTGGAGTGCAGTGGCCACTCCCGGCCACCGCAGCCTCGACCTGCTGGGCTCCAGTGATCCTTCCGCCTCAGCCTTCCAAGTAGCCGGAATTACAGGCATGCGCTACCATGCCCGGCTGGTTTTTTAATTTACTGTAGAGATGAGGTCTCGCTGCCCAGGCGGGTCTCGAACCTGCGGGCTCAGGCAATCCACTCAATCAGCCTCCCAAAGGCGTGGGATTACAGGCTGAGCCACCAAGCCCGGGTGCCATGGCTTTTAAAGACACCAGCAAGACACCTGTGGAGCCGGAGGTGGCCATCACCGAATTAGGATCACCCTCACCAGCCACAACTTGAGATCTCTGGAGAAAGTGTGCCCTGGCCTGATCAGAGGTGCAAAGGAAAAGAATTTCAAAGTGAAAGGACCGGTTCGTGTGCCTACCAAGACTTTGAGAATCACTACAAGAAAAACTCCTTGTGGTGAAGGTTCCAAGACATGGGATCGCTTCCAGATAAGAATCCACAAGCAACTCATCGATTTGTGCAGTCCTTCCGAGGCTGTCAAGTAGATTACTTCCATCAGTACTTCCATGAGTCAGGAGTTGAGGTTAAAGTCACCATTGCTGATGCTTAAGTCAAGTATTTTAATAAATTGGTTACACTTATTTTTTTTAAAAAGTTGTTGTCAAAACCGATTGACTCTGGGACCTTTGGGCTTAGAAGTTTTAGTTCCTAAGGAGGGACTCCCCCCCCCAGGTCCAAGAAAAATGGTATCTCCATGGACCATGTCTGGCTCTTCATGCTGCTTCATGTAGAGGTAACAGTGAGGTCACTGGATTGTATATGCTAACTGATCTTGATTATCAAGAGAAATTCCTAGGGTTTCTATGCAATAGAGTAGGAGGAACATGAATAGAACTGAGGACTCTCCTAAGATTTCTATTTGTACTACTATAACACATAGTAAAGTTTATATATATTTGTAGGAATCAAATATATACATATATTTCTGTGTGTATGTATATGTGTATGGATATATGTGTATTATATATATGCATGCACACACCCACATGCAAGTACCCTCTCTCCATGACATAATTTCAAGATGCAGGAGGTAGAGATTATTTGGGTGTATCTCCAACCAGAGAAGTGGTGAGGGCATTTGCTATTGTACTTAGGATGATTTTGAATTCATAACAGGTCAAAGAGAGTGATTTGTTTGTGTGTGAAGAAGCATGTGTGTGTGTGTCTGGGTGTGTGTGTGTGTGTGTGTGTGTGTGTGTGTGTGTGTGTGTGTGTGGTAGCCAAGGAGTTGACTGTACATACTAACCACAAATTCAGGTGGCTGTTTGACACCAGGGTTTATGTGTCCATTGCCCATCCTCCATCTTGACTGACTGGTCCAAGAATCCAATCACCTGACTTAACCTATTCTGTCTCTTGGGAATTGGAAACACTAAGCAGAAGCACTGGGACTCAAGGTGTTGGACGTAAGCCATCTGGTGGCAGAGCCCTCAAAGGACAAACCAGACATTCCTCATCTTGGACCTGTTCCTATCCTTCCTGGAGTGTGTGGATTTTGTTCCTCCTTCTACTCTCTGAATTGCCCTAGTTCTTTTCCATTGGATTTTCTTTTTCATTTACATCAGCCAGGCTCCATTTCTGTTGCTTGCAACCAAAAGAATCTCAACTGATACAAGCATTACAGTGGAATTTCATCAAATACTGCTAGCACAATGGAATTTCAACTATTAGGCTTTGGGGAGGGTAGGGACTGATGGATTACGGAACAACTCAATTACTCAGTGCCTGAAACATTCAATGCCTGAGTGAAATCCATGAAAGAATGTAAATTACCCAAGAATAGACAAGGAGTGAAACACATTGTTCAGGCAGTCAGGCAAGTGGTGGCTTGCCTGGCATCTTCAGAAAGAAACAGAAGAATCTGTTGAAGGCCTCAGGAAACTGTTAGCTGTTGGCAAATTAGAGGGACAGAAAAGTCTACAGGATTGTATCTACAAAAGGGCTTATCAGGTCCTGCAGGCACGTTATGAGTTACTTAGGAGGATTTCTGGGATTACTTTGCATATCTCTTGCTCTTGTTCCAGCTCTGAGTGCCAGCCAAAGAAAACAACAAGGAAATTCAGAGAACTAATATCCACTGGGCCAACAAAAAGGAAATACAGAGAACGAATATCCACTGGGGCAAGCCCATGGGGGAGAGGAGCAGTGGTTAATGCTTCCAGCCCTCTTTCCTGGAGACGAAGATTTTGAGGACATTCCTTGAAGGTCCCAGTGTTATGGTCTGAGTTATCCTTGGCTGCTTCCCTTGATACCAATAAATCAAAGGGACAGGGAACTGGTAGAAAGAAGTTTATTTCTGAGTTCGAATCCAGGGAACAGAGCCAGACACAAGTTCTTTTAAAATGGTTCTTCTCACCCTCTAGGCCTTTACAGTTCACTTTTATAGTCCCGAGTTGTCGGTGTCTATACATTAGCCATGAGACCAGCAGAGCAATGCATAGAACTTGAGTTTCAATCGCATTTATCGATAGTGACATTTTTCTGTCCAGACTTCCTGGTGCCAGGTGTCAGGTATCTCATAGCTTTTATCAGTAGGGCCCAGCAGAAGCGGTAATCAAGCTTGCCACAGAGTAAAGAGCCTAAGACATCATGCATTATGCAAAAGTTATACAAATCACAAAGCTTATGATGACATTAATACAAAAGTTATGTAGTTCACAGGGTTTACGATGACATTGATACTATATGATTCAAACTTATAACCACTCAGAAAAAGGGAGTAAACGGAGATTTGCATCTTTCAGTTAAGGGGAGGTAGATTACAGGGAAGTTAAGGATCCACTGAAGCTACTTACTGGGAGTGTATAGGAGATAAGGGGAAGCACATCTTTTATTAGCTCTCCGTAATATTGTCCAGGAATGTACAGGAGCATTTGTGCCCCGGCCATGTCCTTCTCTAGGGGCTGTGACAATATGGACAGACATTAGAGGGTCTTTGTATCAGACTCGAGGTCTGTCTTGAATGATTCCACTCAAGTGGTCTCGCAGTCCGCTTCTATCATCCAGAGTTGTCAGTACCTATACATTAATACATTAGCCATGTGACCAGCAGAGCATTGTATAGAGTTCAAGTTACAGCTGCATTTTACATTTCGATAGTGACACTTAGAGTAAAGGATGTTTACAAGGCCTAATCACAAGACTTATGATTGCACTGATACTATAGAGTTCAAAGAAAAGTAGTAAATAGGGATTTACATCTTTGAGCCTGGTCTGCTGGGAAGTCAAGGATCCCCTGAAGCTACTTTCTGGAAGTGTATAGAAGATAAGGGGACTCTCAGTAAGGTGCTCAGGAATGTGCAGGAGAGCTTGAATCTCTACCATACTCTCTAGGGGCTGTGGCAATATGGAGAAACATTAGTGAGTCTCTGTATCATTTTCCCACTGTCAGTTGAGGCCATGATATCTATCATGGAGTAGCTATGTCATGCTGCCTTAACACAAACATACATAAGGTTCTTTCCCTCAGCTGACTTTTTTGCTTTATAGGCTTAGTTATGAGCACAGGAATCCTTTTTTTTAGAAAGCAGGATTTACTAAGAGGACAGAAAAAGCTCCCACAGTGGGAGGGGACCCGAGGAGGTTGCCTGAGCACAGGAATTCTAACAACGCATTGGCTACCAAGTGTGACAGCTAAATATATTAACATTGCTATTATAAACATAGTTAGAAACAACTTCCCTATGCCTGAAAGGAGGCCCTGTAACCTTAATTGGAGCCAAGAAACATTTGGAAAATCAATCAGACCTTTCCAGGCCCCTTCTAGCATAAACATCTGCATCGCCTGTAGCATTAATGCTGGTTTTCATTCAGCTAAGCATTGCCATGTTCCCCAATTCATATGGGACAAAAGTGCAATACTCAGCCGGGCTCGGTGGCTCAGCCTGTAATCCCGCGCCTTTGGGAGGCTGAGGTGAGTGGATTGCCTGAGCCCGCGGGTTCGAGACCCACCTGGGCAGCGAGACCTC